ATTTGTCAGAAGCTTGAAAACAGTATCTGTGTTATCTTCTAAGTTTCTTCTCATGTTCTCTTTTTTTATCTTCATGCTCTCTTTTTAAGGCTCAATATAATACTGTGCAGAGTCCTGGTATGGCACTGGGGGTTAATGCACTAACTGCAAGATCAGTTTGAATCACAAACTCTCGGTGGTTCAAGATCACCAGCCGTTCCTCGGAAACCCTATACAGGGTCACTATAAGTCATAACTGACTCAAAGGCACTTAACAACAATAATAACATAATACTATGCAGCCCTGTGTGGTACTGTAGGATAAGCAAAAACTGCTAACCAAAAACTTGGAAATTCAAACCTACTAGCCGCTTCTTGGAAGCCCTATAGGGTCGGCACTCAGAGTTTAGACTTGACCACACTTAACAACAACAACTACGTAATACTGTAAGTAGAGCAAAGCCTTGTTAATAAACAAAGAGTATAGTTAGAGATTGCAGGGAAGAACCATATACCTCTTCAGCATAAAATTCTCCCAAGGGCTTCCCATTGTTCTCAATATAATGGTGGTGGTGGTGGTGTACCATGAGTTGGTTCCAACATATAGACACCCTTATGAGAGCAAGAAAGCCTCATCTTTCTCCCAAGGCAGCTGGTAAATTAAAACTGCTGACCTTGTGGTTAGCAGCCCAACTTGTAACCCACTATGCTACCTGGGCTCCTTTTCAGTATAAGGCTGTTGTTGTTAAGTGCTGCTGAGTTGGTTCCCATCCATAGCAACCCTATATAGGGTTTCTGAGGTGCAGCTGATGAGCTTGAATGGCCCACATTGCGGTTCAAACTGACCTTGTAATCCAGCACATTAACCCACAGCACAACAACAATAACAGTCTTAATTTACATGGTAGAGTAGCACTGTCCAACAGAACTTTCCGAAAAGTGGCTATGTTCTATAGCTGAGTTATCTAATGTGTCGGCCGCGCATGTGTGGTTCCTGAGCATATTAGACACACTGTGAATGGCTAGTGTTTAGCACACTGTACCATACAGCTCTACAGTGTATTTCTTGCATGCTACACTGTCTTGGAAGTACAGCCAAAATGCTCCTTAGAAGCGAGGATGGAGAAACATTGTCTCACACACTTTGGACATGTTATTAAGAGAGACTGTTATTAAGTGCCATCGAGTCAGTTCCGACCCATAGTGACCCTGTATAGGGATTCCGAGGAGCTACTGGTGAGCTTGAACCACCGACCTTGCAGTTCAAACGGCTTTGCAGTTTGGCATATTAACCTAACCAGGACTCCATCAGGAGAGATAAGTCCCTGGAAAAAGACATCATGCTTGGTAGAGGGTCAGCAAAAAAGAGGCAGATCCTCAATGAGATGGACTGAGTGCAACAATGAGCTCAAACACAACATTGAAATTAGTACAGGACCAGCAGTGTTTCGGTCTGTTGTTATGAGTCTAAACAGGCTCAATGGCACCCAATAACATGTCTTGTAATTCCTTGAAATCTAGCAAGGTCTATATGATCAACACACACACACACACACACATTAGTTTTCATTATCCATTTTCTTCCTGTTTCTGTATTTCCCGATCACACTGATTTATCAATTTAATACGCCATTTTAATCTATACTCTGGACCAATGCAAGAATTTTTTGTTAGAAAAACTCCTATTCTTTCATTTTTTACTTTTTCAGGTTATCAGCTAAAATGTGATTTTCTCAAAAAGGTGTTACTTGGCCCCCAACCCCCACATATATTAGATTCTTTCCATCCCTTTGTTCTAGTAGAACTTTTTCTTGCTAACACTTATCACAATTTGTGATAACCAGTTTATCTGTAGGTTTAATGCCTTTCTTGAGTGGAAAAACTGGGTCTATTTTGTTTATCATTGTATCTTGAGTGTTTGGCACACAGTAAATATTTATGAGACGGACGGACGAACGAAGCTAGAGACTGGGGCACATTCTCGGGGTTTCTGACCTCCACAAACCATAATCTAAAAAAATCCTCCTAGCCAGACCACTAAGGCAATTTACAAGTCCTTGTTCCCGACAAGCAAAGTGCAGTTGGGTTCAATCCGATCTAGGCAGACGCCTCAGGTCGATCGGTCGCACCCTCCCCAAAAGCCGCAGAACCTGGGCCTGCGTAACCTCCGCTGCACCCCTTCTTCATAGTGGATAAGCCGGTAACGGAGTCCCATTGGTGCACCCCCAACGTACCTTGGACACCGAGGAGGTGGCCATGATCTTAGAGGCCCGCGGGATTCCAGTTGCACACAAGATTTCCCGCGCGCCCTCGCGGCAGAAGGGCAGAGGTTAGAGGAGGCCGATGAGACTCATTGATTGGCTAACATCACCCACTGGGACGGGCTTCCGGCGTGCGAAGGCGTGGTGTGAAGAGGAGGGCGGGGCGGGCTTCCCGAAGCAAGACATGGCGTGCGGCTTCCGCAGGTCCATCGCTTCTCAGGTATGAACTCGCAGCTGATAGAATGAGTGACCCAGCGGATTCCCGGACCCCGAAGCCTTTTCACCAAAGCGAATCAATTCTCAGTCAGCGGGAGCACCACTTATTTTCCTAATCCTGTTTCTGCTACCTTCTCCCGCTTCCATATAGTTTGCCAAGGCAAATCGGTAGAGAGGGACCAGGTAAAAAGTAAATCTTGAAAGACACCTGTGACTTTCCTCGCTCCTTCCTAACTCACAGCTTTGCATGCTTTACCTGATGGGAAGGTATTAGCCGTGATTAGATCCTGTAGAGGGAGCCCTGGTGTGGTGCTGTGGGTTAATGCGCCAGACTGCAAAGCTGTTTGAACTGCAAGGTTGGCGGTTCAAGTTCACCAGACGCTCCTCGGAAACCCTATCCAGGGTCGATATGGGTCGGAACCGACTCTATGGCACTTAATAACAACAGATCCTATAGAAGTTAGTATTTATTACACTTCATAAAGTGTATCCACTCGAAAGGCTCCTATTTTTAAATTGATTATTTCACTTCCATTTATTTGGCAGACTACCGTAGCATTATGTTTGTTAGCGCCAAAGGCAAAGGAGACCCTGCTTTTTTTGATTCAAAGTCACATTTGAACTGCTGTAGTGATATTAACGGTTCAAGTCCCAAAGAAGGATGATGACCACTATAATGTCCAATTTAGAGAATTTTATTGGCACAACAGACAGCTATAGCTAGACGGCAGGGAGACAATAACTTCTCCTAAGTCTGCTGTGTCGCAGGGAGATAGCTGCTAGTTTATATATATGCTACATTCTTGGCTCAGGGTCTAGGGGTTTATCTAAAGGAATTTGCTGAAGCAGGTAGTACAGAAGCAAAAAGTAGCAGGTTAGTTTGCTAAGAGAGACTTGGTAATAATAGCTAACAAGGTCAAGGCAACAAGGCTACAAATCAGTTTACTTAGGTGGAATAACAAAACTATATATCAGTTTGCATAGGCAGACTAACAAGGCTGCAAATCAGTCACCGTTGTTGAGAGGGTCCATGAGGTACATAGTTAATTACTTTAAGGAATGCCCTGGGTCTATAATCACACAATAAACACCACCTGTGAGGCTTGTTTCGTCTTATCTCCCCTGAGGCCAGGGGAGCTATGTCTGTGAGGCTTATTTCTGCCCTATCCACCTCTAGGCCAGAGGAGCTGTGCTGGCTTTAGACATTCTGAGATTTCAAGGAGCTCTGTTGTTTCAGTGAGAAGGGATTAAATACTGCAACAAAAATCTGGAGTTCATCAAAAAGAGTTTTTAAAACTCACAGAGAAACTTGTTTGCTCCTTACAAGCCATGTCTTTTTTTTATTATTGGTGGTTGGTGGTTAAGTGCCATGGAGTTGGTTCCGGCACATAGAGACCTTGTACAGGGTTTCTGAGGGTGTAAATCTTTACAGGAGCAGAAAGCCTCATCTTTCTCCCGTGGAACAGCTGGTAGTTTTGAACTGCTGACCTTGCAGTTCACAGCACAATTGGTAATTTTGCCATGTAAATAACGGGCACAAGAATAGAACACACATAGCATGTATAGGAAACTGACACACTGAGGTGGCTGAACAGTTGTAAACACCTTCTAATTCCATGTGTTATTTGCATAAATATTTGGTAGTTTGCCTGGCATAAAAGTTGACTTTGTTCATTTTTACACTGTTTTTGAACATTTGTGAGGAAATCCTGTCTTTATGCTCAGAAATGTACTTCCCTGGCAATGCTGACTCTCCAAATATCAATACCATTTGATAAGACAAAAAAGTTTTGTGCTTACATGAAAGGAGAGCACCACCTTAATAAAGCTTTGACTAAATAGTGCCTTGGACTAGGAAGCCTGATATCACTAAAAATTTGAAGTTTGGTTTAAGGTTGGTCTTTCAGTGAGAAGGTGGTTAGGGTTAGGATTAGATATGAATCTCCTCCATATAACAAGTTCAAGACTGGAGGAAAGAGCAAATTGAGAATATTGAGGGAGGAAAGCGAAGTTTTAGGATGCAAACTATTGATGCTTTTTATTGAAAAGTGGATAGATACAAACTATTGATACTTTTTATTGAAAAGGATATAATTTTAGAGAAGTTCATATAGTGAGGTTATTTTCTCAGCCAGGAGTCTCTTGGTGTTCTTAAGTGTCACTGAGTAGGTTATGACTCATAGTATAGGGTTTCCAAGGAGCGGCTGGTGAGTTTGAACCACCAACCCTGTAGTTCACACTGAACTTGCAGTCCAGTGCTTATCCTACAGCACCACACCAGAACTCCTAAATAAATAGAATTAAACAAAGTTAAGCTAATGAAGGCAGAAGAGTAGTAAAGTTCTATTAATGTTAGCTAGAGCATTATGGCTCTGTAGGATAAGCCCACCAGCTGCTTTGTGGGGGAAAGATGAGGCTTTCTGCTCCCTCAAAGTTTTGTTGTTAGGTGCCATGAAATCGGTATTGTCTCATAGTAACCCTATGCACAACCGAATGAAACACTGCCCAGTCCTGCAGCAGCCTTACAATCTTTACTACGCTTGAGCCCATTGATGCTGCCACTTTGCCAATCCATCTCACTAAGGGTCTTCCTCTTTTTCTCTTACTTTCCACTTTACCAAAGATGATATCCCATCTCCAGAGATTGGTCCCTCCTGATAATTTGTACGAAGTGTGAGAGACGAAGTCTGGCCATCTTGGCTTTGAAGAAGTATTCTGACTACACTTCTTCCAACACAGATGTTTGCTCTTTTTAAAGTCCATATTGTAATTTGACAGTCCAGGTACTTTCCATACTCTCCTCCAACACCATAACTCAAATGTATCAATTCTTCTTGAGTCTTCTTTATCCACTGTCCAACTTTCACGTGAATATGAGGTTACTGAAAATACCATGTCTTGGGTCAGGCGCACCTTCATCCTGAAACTGACATCTTTGCTCTTCAACACTCTAAAGAGGTCTTGTGCAGCAAATTTCTTGTGCAAGAAATTTGATTTCTTGACTGATGCTTTCATGAGTATTGATGGTTCATCTAAGAAAAATGAAGTCTTTAACAACAGTCTCTTCTCAATTTATATGAATGTTTATTAGTCCAGTAGTGAGGAATTTTGTTTTCTTTACCTTGAGGAGCCTATACTGAAGGTTGTAGGTGGTTGTTTTTTTTTTAAATAAAGCTTTTATTGTGTATTGAGTAAGTGAAGGCTTATAAGGAAGATCACCATTTTTACATTCAGCAAATCATTCTAATGATTACAATCCCCTCCATGTACACTTAGCCAACGGTATTTACCTCTATTATCTTTTTTTTTTTTTTTTAATCTTTAATTTTTTTTTTTTTAAACCACAAGAATCCTATCCCCATCTCCTTTCATCAGTCCTGCCCAGATTGGATACTACTCAGTGGAGATTCTACTTTCTGTCATACCCTCCTTATCTAGGCTCCCCCTTGAAAGCTTCTAAGCCAGTCACTTCTTGCCTTTGTAGGCCCCTGCTGTTTTGGGTAGCCAAAGTCTAAGTTGCCCATCACTGTCTACCCTGTGTACCAAGGGGATGGGAATGATCCTCACTGTAAAGATTTGTTCCCCCTTTGTGCTACTGCATCCATAGATATAGGTCAAGTTCATCAAATTGTATCAGATTACTCTTTTTTTTGTTCCTCTTCTTTCTTCTTCTAGTCGACTTCTGATCATCCAGCCATTGAAGCCAGGTCAAGTGGGTACTGTCTGCAACTGTGGGTGTTCTTGTGCATCTCCCCTCACTTCATATTGACTCTTCTCTCTCCACTCTAGTCCTTTGTGACGTTACTGTCTCTGGGCCCAGGAGTCCCCAGGTGTTGCCAAACTGCTAGGCAACCAGGTCTCCACCCAGGTGCACAGGGTTCTATTGAAAGTTGTAGGGCTTAGCTGCAGCTTCCTTGCTGTTTTTCCCTCACATCCCTTATTGGTAACCAATGTGGTCATCAGTCAGAGCACATGCCTGCGCATGTATTCCCCTTGAGTCTTAGTCTTGGAAGGAGGTTTGCCCTGAGGGGACCAAACCACTTACCTTGATGTCTCTTGGGCGAACAACTTGCTTGTTCTTGTAGTAGTCAGTCAGAATACTGTTACTGTTTTTTATTTTTCCTGTCGGTCTTTATGTCAAGAAGTATCTTCTGTTCTTCTAGCTGCTCCAGACCTCTATTACCTTTAAAAAAATGTTTTGATGTGTACATATCACATTGGAAATACGTATTTATTTAAATGTCCAAAGGACACATATTGCAAGCCAACCTTCTGCCCGCAGGCACACTGCTTTTCTCAGTCCATGGGCCTAGAGTCCACTGCTGCTCTGTCTGTCTATGCCATCACCTTCACCACCATCTCTGTGGTCACTGCTTTTCTGGTTAGGATCCCTCACTCATCTCGTGTTCTTCCCTCTTGAGGGTCCTAGAATCCCCTGTACCTGAAATGACCAATTAACTGCTTTCCCCTTTTAGTTGCACCTCTTGTATGTTTACAGTTGTGACAATTGCCATTAGACCTGAAAACAGTTACTCACAGTTGAATCATAAAATCCTATCTCCCTCATCACCAGACCCAGCTGGACACGAGGAAAACTATTCGGTAGGGTTTCTGTCTTACTCCCTTCGTTCTGACACTAAACACCCTCATGAAAGCTTGTAAGCCAGTCACTTTGTGCTTTTTAGTCTCTCAATCTTGGTAGCCAAAGTTTTAAGCTGCCCATCCCTATCAACCCAGTGTACTGAAAAGGCATGCTTTATCCTTGTTCAGAAGAAACCTTCCATATTTGGTTGGAATTTTAGGAAGACTCATCCATAATCAAGGTTTCAGTTGATCAGGTAGCAATTTACGCTTGTGCTCTGTATCATACTTTTTCTTCATCTGATCGAATTCTGATCAGCAAGCCATCCACACTAGGTCCAGTGGGTACTGTGTGTGAGTCTGGGAGTTCTCACACACACACTCTCCCTTCCCCACCACTTCAGATCAGCTGGCTGCTTGCTT